ATAACAAGTTCAAGCCTCAGCAACTTAGTGAGATCCTGTCTCAATTAAAAAAAAAATAGAAAGGGCTGGGGATATAGCTCACTGGTAGAACACCCCTGAGTTCAATCCATAGAACCCCCCCCAAAAAAAAAGATTTTATTCAGTAGCCACTAAAAGTAAAGAACTATGCTCCATTCCAATTTGTACAGAGGTAATTGGGGCATTTCAAAGGGAGAATGTGGGGTGGGCCTAAGTAGAACCAGAGAAGTGAAAATGACAAAGGGTTGGTTAGGTTAGGGTAAATATGATTGGTCCAGCTGTGTTTGTTAGTTGACAGTTGCCAAAGTTAGGATTCTGTTCTTCCACAGAGACTGATGCCCTATCCTTCTCAATGATTACATTTCAAAGGAATGGGTCTCCAGTCCTTTAGAGAGACACTTCTGTGTTGTAAGAGATACATACTCACAATTGTAAGCCCTTTTAATAAATGTTCTAAAGAGGAAGGTCAGAGTTCTATCATCAGGCATTGGTTAAAACTAATTTACAAACAGTAAATTTTTCCTGGCAACACTGAACTTTCTCAGTAAGTCATTTAAATGAGGGCTAGGGTCAATCTTATGCAGCTAGAAGTCATGCTAGAGTTTGGTTAAGATACTTAGTGCAAGGGTTTGGATGAAGTTGTTATGTGCCAAGAGTTCTGTAGTTCTCATCTGTTAGGAAATATATGGATGTCCATAACCATATTTATGTGAGAAGGCATTGTATAAATGGTTGATGTTAATAACTATGTCAAAGCTCTCTCTTTCCTTACTCCCTCCTCCTAAGCTTTGCAACCTCTAAATCCAATCCAGAATAAAAGGGGAGCAGTTCTGTGTGCAACCAGCTCTTCACACCTGGTCTTCACAATTAGATCTTGGGGTAGTCTCTCTTGATGGAAAGAATGATGAATGCCCTTTTCCATGACAGAAGCCTTCTTTGTCTTACAGAAGGAGAAAAACGCAGGTTGTGTCCCACCCAGGGCATCATGTTTCCTTCAGCCCTCACAGGCAGGGAAGCTTCCCTGAGCTATGATCCAAGCAGGTTGAAGCTTCAGAACAGAGGGCAACTTCTTAAACAGTGACCCTCCTGTGTCCTCTTTTGCTCCATCTTCCTTCTCTTCTATAGTTCAAGGGAAGTGGAGACTCAGAGGACAGAAATAGACCTGTGCATGCCAAGCCAAATTCTCTCAACAGAGGAGTTTGATGCAGGCTTCTTAGACATTAAACTCTATTTCCCAACTCCCTTCCTAACCTTAGAAGGAAAGTCATCCTTATTGATTTGGGAATCCCTGAGGGGTATATAAGGCAAGTGATTTCTTGTGGGACATTGAGTTCTGCTTAAAGAGACTACTCATGAGCTTCCAGAAAAGCGTCTTGTGGTTGAATGTCTGCAAATAATGAATTATTGGTGTATCCTAATATCACTAATTCATAACCACCTGGGATCAGAATTTACTGAAGTATTTACTAAAGAAAATAATGATTAGTAATTCTGTGAACTCAGTATTCATTCAAAATTAGCTACCAAGGTATTGACAAATAACAATCTTAAAAGCAGCAGTGTGGCGTGGAAATATCATTAGACTAAGATACAACTGGCCTAAGAGTTCTGACATCATTGAATAGAATATGTGTGACTCTGGGCTTTTCTATCAATTTCTTGAAAATAGCTTCAAGTGGTCTAGAAAGAGATATTGAATAACTTGCTCAAGGTCACATAGCTAGTAAGTGACAAAAGTCAGCACTGTATGGATCCAGGGTTCTTAACCATTCAAATACATTGTACCTTCCTGATCTGATGCTTGGTTTATTCTTATGGAGTCTGGAACAAAAGTGTTTTATGATTCCCCTTTCCTTTCCAACATTCTTTACAATTAACCTCAAACCCTGTGTGCAGAGAATTATTTAAGACATTGCTGTTTGTTCATTGAGGGGGTAGAAAAACTCTGTTCAATGAGAAATCTCACTGCCTGGAGATCCCCGTAGGAAAGAAGGAGACTATTATGGGGTCCTTGTCTGAACCTAAAGGTGTTTATGGGCTGGTCTAAGTCATTGGTATTAGAGAGTTTAGAGGCAGTGGATCTTGGGGCTGGGAGAATTGACTTGAAACCCACATATGCCAATCCAGCACAGCTATATCCTTGATAGATATGTTTATTTATAGATGGCTTATATGTGTATACAGAAGCTGATAGAAAGGATGACTTCCCTAACCACTCATCTTCTCTGAAAGAGGTCACACCTGGGTCTCAGCTAAGTAAAGTGTATTTAGTCTCAAAGTTATCTTCCTGGGAAAGATCACAATTATAGGTCAAAGGGGACTCTGGATGGCCTTGTACATATAGGATGATGAGTCCATATCTAACTAACTCCCATTCTACATGCCCCAACTTGGTCAAAACTTCAATAGTAGAAGAGAATTGACAGCCCACTGAATCTTTAAATGAACTCCAACCTTCCTATTTTCAAATAAATTCCCTGAGATTAGGATATTTGGTTTAATTCTAAAGGCTTACCAGTGGTTATATATTGGAGCAATTTGTGCAAAATCATCTGTAAGTCTTCTTTAACAGACACCCACTTCCACACTTAAATATTTCTCCTAACGGTGTTAATTCTGAGTGGTGCTGAAAGATGAAGAATACCTGGATATCTCTTGGCCCTCAAAGGAATTTCTGTGGTCACAGAGAGACTATACCCTTTCCCTCACCATGAACATGTGCTCTACAAGTCTCATTTTTGTTATTTCTGGAAAATATCATGTGGCATTTGCTATTTTCCATTTCTGTTTTTGCATTCTGAGCATCTCTGGACAAGTCAGTAATTCTGTCAGATTATTGTTCCTTCACTATTCCAAAAAGCATCACTAAACACTTCTGGAGGGCCAGAAACGGTAATGTTTGACTGTCCACTGGGTGAAGGCCAGCAGATAAGGCTGGAAGTTTTAAGAGCAGCAGACTAGGGAAGAATTATAGTACAGAGTAGGAAGACTGGACAGAATTGCATTCTACACCTAGGCAAGTGTCATGGAGCACCAGTGATAAAACAAGGAAGAATCTGAAGAAATTTCAGCTTCACTTTCATCCTCCCTCTGAGGGCATTGGTCTTGCCCCTCCACTCTGACCATGCAGTCCTTCCTAGTATATCCAGAGAATCAGAAAATTGAAGTGGGAACATAGCACATCCAAGAGTGGGGCTCCTTAGACTTCAAGCCCATCTCATACTAACTGGTTGTGTGATCTTGGACATATTAGTTAAACCTCAGTTTACTGTAGCATCAAATGGCAATATTACAATGCTTCTTGGAGAACTGGTGGGGAGATTACAGTGGAGCATGTGGAAAACCCAGCACAGTGCCTAACACATAGTTAATACTAAAACAATTGGCAGTTTTACATTGATGATTGTTGGCTCAGATGCTACACCTTCTCCTTGGCAGGTTTCTCTCTACTGGAGCCCCCAGAACAGCTGACATGTTTGAGGGGCCAGAAACTGTACACGAATACAAAAAATCAGAGGAAGGAAAAACTTGCCACCTTTATTTGCTTCCCATCTTCCCATCCCCTTTCCCACAAACATTACAGATTTATAGTCCAAGGAGGCTGAATAATAAAATCCTCACAGTTTAGCATCTATGCAGGACCCCATTCCAAGATTCTAAGTTGGATACCCTCCCATCTCACAACCCCACCCACCCCACCTCATTTTCCAGAACTCCTTCAGCTCAGGTTCTCCAGTAAAAATCCCGCCCTTAGCCCTTAGTTCTTGGAATGCTACTATAGGGGACATCACCCAGACGCCGGCGGGCTGCATCGCCCCGGCAACCGTGTAGTGCGCCTGCGCAGTGCTTTTCCTGAGAAGACAGCTCTAATTAAGCTTCAGCACCGCTGCAGATCAGACTTAGGGGCCAAAAGAGTGGGTATCCCTCCTCCCGCTCTGTCCACTTCCCCAGCCAGAAGGTTGTGGTGTTCTCTACCTGAGGCTGACAAAAATATGAGGAATGTCTTCCAGCTCTCCCATCTGCTAGAAGGTGGCAGTCCAGGGTAGCGTCTGGTAATTAAGAGAAAGGGAAGGACAGAACGCTTGCAGGTGCCAGGAGGTGAGAAAGCATAAACCTGCGCTACTGGCAGGAATCACTTCCTCTCCCCCAGTCAGAAGTGTCTTTCCACATAATACCCAACCCAGTGCCAGGGAAACCTCTCAGAAATTGTTAGCTGCCAGCACTCTAGAGAAGCGAGCTGGGTTAGAAGCTTTGGGAGAATCGGGATGCAGAGAGCCAAAATGCTAACACTCACCTTAACAGCTTGGGTGCTGAAATAAACTGCTCTAGCGGAGGAATCCTTACAGAGCTCCTTCAGATGAATTGTTCTGACTCCAGATTCAAGACCAGCTGCCTTCAGGAAAGCCACTATTGATTCCCAAGAGCCACTTTCTGAGAATATGGACCCTTGTTACCTCTGCCACAGACTTATCTCTACTACCCACCCCCAAACTCTGAGCTACTTTCAAATCCCCTGAAGGCACATTACACACTGCCCTAGTCTTCACCAACAGTCCCTCTTTCAATCCCTCTTCACAAATTTGGGTATCATAATAGATATCACTAGACTACATTTTGTCCCCAGCCCTCCAGTTCCACCTCATGCTTCCCACCACCTCCCCTCCTTCACTCATTCCTTGATTAATACTCCTGCACCTTCTCCAGCCCTTCATAGACCCCAATGCCTTCTTCACTGCACATCCCAGCACCTAAAGTTGGTAGTTATTCCCGTGATCTTCCATTGCACAACCCCACCAGATTTTCTTGCCCCTATTATACCACATGTCACAGCATAATGTAATTGCTGTTTATTTCCATGGCTCCTCTATTTTAAGCTCTGGGGTCCAGCTGGGTCTTCTTTACCCTTATATTCTCAGCACATAGCCCTGTGCTCAGAGCATACAGGTGCTTAATAAATGTTTACAGAATAAATGAATGCATTATCAGGGTATCTAATTCATTATGCTTTTATTTTTCACTACACTCTGGAACAACAAAGTAAATACAGGTAAATGGCAGTCTTTTTTCACACAACAGTAGACACAAAGGGAAGGCTGTGTGTTTTTGTATTGTGGATTTGTGTGTTTTGTGTGTGTGTTATTATTGTTATTTAACTTCTACACCTGATAGTTTTACTGATTATTACAAACATGTAAACATTACCAGTACATTTTACATAGCTGTCTGAACTTTTATACTGAAACAAGACAGGGAAGGCAAATGAGCAATTCATAAACATTGATCATGAACCTAATTTTAGGGTATATTAGAAGGAAGGAAATACAATTATAACTGGAACACAGATAGTAAGCACAATGTGTACTCCCTACCCCAACCCTCCCCAACTTCTGATTTGGGGCCCCAATGCCCATTTTCTCAAGGCCCTTTTAACTGATGCCACTCAACTGTAGTGATACATCTTTTACAAACTTCACATGGAGCCAAAGAAGAACATGGCAGTGGCCTCAGATCTGGCTCTGGCCTCCTCATCTTCCATGGCCTCCCTATATTGCTCTGGCCAGTCCTGTGGTCGCTTTCTGTAGAGCCTGGCCATGTACTCCAAGGCTTTCATTTTGGTGGTTTCAAGGTGAGCTCGAGGACCCCAGAGAAGCTCATATTCAACTGGATTAGAGTAGGACAGTGGCCTGCACTCCAGGTAGCGCTGCCTCATAAGCTTACAGGTGATGGCATGCTTTCTCCCGACATCCACACTAAATCTCCGAAGCAAGTTCCAGACATTGGCCTCTTTAACACGGTTGCCCATCAGGAAGATCAAGCCCAGGATTGGCATCACATACTCTTGAGTGGGTCTCCCCAAGCTCTCTAACATTACTTGCTCTTCTTCTGATTCTGGTTGCTGAACTAGGAGGTAGATGTGCTCACTGGTATCAACCTCAATCAGAGAGAACCCATAGAACAGATCAAGGATTAGAGTAGCTCGACTGAGGATGTTTGGGAACACATCCTCAAATTCTTTGCCAGTGTGAGCCAAGAGCTCATCCTGATGTATAGGGAGCAACTCCTCAGTGACATTAATAGCCAACTGGACCAAATCATTTGCCTTGTCATTCATAGTGTCCTCTGACCAGAACTCTAAGCCAGCAGCCTGGCTTCTTTCTTTGGCTTTGTCAGCTTCCAGGGCCTTGTTATATTCTTCTGGCCAGCTCCAGGGTTCTTCATCATGGGCCTCTGCCACAAACTTCAGGGCTTCCATCTTTGTGATCTCCCTGTGGGCCCTAGAGCCCCACAAGAACTCAAATTCGAGGGGATTAGTGCCATACACGGGCCAGTACTCCAAGAATCGCATGCGCACAAAGTCAGTAGTAAGGAGATTTCTTGTGTTCCCTAAGAGATTGTTGATCCTCTGAGGCTCATCCAACACATCAACCTTTAGCAACAGGTCCCAAATGGAAGCCTCTCTTGCCCGGTTGCCATTCAGGAGGATGTGGCCTAGGACAAGGGCCAGGAGACCTGCCTTTGGCACGTCCAGAGTCTCTGCTAGCCGATCAGTGGTCTGGGGACCCGGTTTGCTGATTAGGTTGTAAGTATCAGCCTGAGGATCAAGAACTCTCAGGTTCAACCCAAAGACCCGATCCAGGTGAGCTGAGGCTCGTCTGAGTATCTCAGGGAACTGATCTGAGTATTCTCTGAGAAACTCCAGCATCTCTGACTGCTGGATAGACCCCTCGGTTTGGCTTTTCATTCGCATGAAATTCACCAAAGCTATTGACCTGTCTTCTAGAGGGTCGTGGACCCTGAGCGCCCCCAAACGTCGGGACTGCTCGTCGATGAGGACCTCGATGTCATTCGGGTCCTGGATGGCTTGAGAAGCGCTGGCACCCTGAGGGTCCATAGGAACCTGAGAGCCCTGGAGGGTATCAGGGACCAGCATGGAGGTGGGGGGCCCGGAGGCGTTAGTAGCCTGCATTTCACCCCGGCCGTCGCTGTAATCTGCAGTGGTCTCTGCGCTGCCGTGGCGCGCATTCTGGCTTACCAGAGACATGGTTCCAGGAGACAGGAGCGGGAGCTGGTAGGTCAGCGATTCGTCGGAGAGAGGACCGTAGGTGAGTTGGCGCCTCGGCACAAAGCCGAAATCCGAGACCCGAGAGCTGGGCGGATCAAAAGTGAGCGCTGGAAAGAAGGGCGATCTTTTTACACTAGCACTAGCCAGCAATGAGCGCAAGCCTGAGAGCGTCTAGCTTTGCCGCAGCCTACGCAGGCGCAGTCGGGCTCTGCGACGTGGTGGCCACGCCCCACTCACAGTCTTCCACTCCCGCCCCTAACCCCTGCTGGGCAGGCGAGGTGAGTCCGAGCGGTTGTTGCTGGACTTCCTAGAGAAGAGAATTTTAAAAAGAGGAATAAATCTGGGGATATAACTCAGCAGTAAAAGCGCTTTCCTAGCATATGTGAGACCCTGGGTTCCATCCCTAAAACTGAGGGCGGGGGAGAAAGGGGATAAAAGATAAAGCAAAAGGGTCAAGGGATAGGAGATGTTTCAGTGACATTGCACTTGAAATTTTTCTGTGGGGTATAAAGCACTATGATAATTAATGGAGCATTCAGAGAGGAGGAGAAGGATGTTAACAATGATAATTATTTTATAGATTCATTAATTCATCTACCCACAGAAAAGGTATTTCTTAAGCATGTGCCACATGCAAAGCCAGTGCTAGGTGTTAGAGGTACATCAGAGGACAAACAATGATTATTCTTTTCCATGCTGAGGTTACTTTCAGGGATACATTCAAACAATGGCAATAGTAATGAGCACTAATCTTTTATGCAGAACTTACTATGTGACAGGTGCTGTTCCTGGCACCTTCACTTTTCTCATTAAAATCCTTTTATCTTAGCTATGATGTACCTACTCTTAATAATCCTTACTTTACAGATGAGGAAATTGGGTCAAGATAGTAAATTTACCTGTTCAAAGTAAGGCAGCAAGAGAAAGACATCAGGATTTGAAACCAGGTCTGTCAGAATCTAAAGCATATGTACTTTCTCATACCATATGAATTTCAAGGGGTGTTTAGCCCTACTTGTTATAAATAGCTCATATAAAAGGGATAGAAATAGGTGCTTTCATGTAGGGTCAACTAACATACAGTAAAAACAGAAGGAGCAAGCAATGAATTACAGCTTAGTCTGGTGTGTCTTGGATTGGGGGTAGTTGCAAAGAAACCCTCAAAGAGGAGTTGAGCTCTAAGTGATGAAAAGGATAAAAAGGGTTCATGGTTTATAAGGTATTCCAGTCTTAGGAACTATCAACAGGAAAGGCCCAGAGGTGTGAAAGTACAAAGTAAGTTTGCATACAGCCAGTCACCCAGGGTGGCTAGAGCTAGGATGGGTGGGAGATGATGATGAAGGTGGCTAGCCAGGAAAGACTGGATTTCCTAGTCTTCATTTAGTAGTATATCAGAACTGGTTGGGGTCCTACAGGGTGGGAATGGCAGCACAAGAATAGAACTTGTTACTTCAGGCAGTTGTTCACGTACGTGTATGTGTGCAAGTGCACATGTGTGTTTGGGAAGACATGATATAAACATTTTAGGCAGGAAGATGGGTTAAATGCTTTATTTTCTTGGAGTGCTAGCAAAATAGTTGGAATAAAATATGGCCGTAATCCAGGACTCAACTATCAAGGAGTGCAGGAGAGCATTATGAAGAGAAAAAGAATTTAAAACAAGATTGCCATCTGCAGACACTCTGGAAATCCTTCCTTAAATTCTTGACAGTAATTAATGCTGTTACATTCAGTGATCCTGCCCTTGGAATTCTTTCAGAGGCTATGGCCTTCATATGTGGGGGCCAGTCACACATTTTGGACACTTTCTAGATACCAGTTACATTCCACAATAGCAAAGGAGGAAATTTAGGAACATGGATTTGGCCAGACTGGACTAAAGTCTTACATGTTTGTAGAAACAAATATGTATGCTCTATAAAATAGAAATGTGTGGTTTGTGTGCTAATCATTCTTTAAGATAACCTTGTGAAAAGCAACACCTTCTTAAGCTGCTGCAAAGGTATGATTGAGGTTAGATCTGATAGTCTTTTACTCTTGTGTTTCTTTATCAGCAGAAGGGCTCCATGTTCCTTATCCTAGACAGATGCTTCACAGGGGTAAACTCTGAGAGGATTTTTTTTTTTACTTGTTGATGGACCTTTATTTTATTAATTTGTATGTGGTGCTGGGGATCAAACCCAGTGCCTCACACATGCTAGGCAAGCGCACTACCACTGAGCCACAACCACAGCCCCCGCCCCCAAGAGGATTTTTATTTCCTTCAGTTATAAATGAAAACATATATTCCCCCCCCCAGAAAAAAACATAGCTCACAGAGTTGGACTTCTACTATTCCCTTTCCCACCTAATAAAGAAGAAAAACAACATTGAATGGAGGCATCTTACCTGATGATGTCCTAATATCATTCCATAGCATTCAACTCCTTAACAAATTTTTCCCTGTTTCTCATCTTCATCTTTTTTTAAAAGAGAATATACAATTTATTTAACATTCAAACTTCTTTAAGACGTGTGCAATATGGCAATTTTACTGAGGGTTTCACCCTACTTAGGATATGATTGCTTGCTGGGGCTTAGCAACAGGGTCCAGTTCACACTTAGCATTAATTAAATAATTTATTGAATAAATATAATACCAAACAAAATGCATTCAAATGCTTTCTTAAAAAATCAACTTTAAAGGCCTTTTTATTCAGGCTAATGACAAACACAATAAAGGCAGATATGCTAGTTTAACATAATTGGCTGATTTTATACAGCACTTATATCTTTAGTCCACAAGTATATTATTAAATGATAGAGAACATCTAATACAACCATTTCTACAGAACTAGGAAATAAATTTCTAAGAAAGAAAGATTTTATAGACCCCAACAGTCTAACTCTAAAGAGGATAAAGCCAATGACTTTCCTCACAAGAGCTCACAACTAATGTTGCTTTGCTATCAAAATCTGTATTTCTGATCCATTAGGAGCACTGAGACAAGATTCAAATATTCCCAAAGAAGTACAATGCATGTTGTAATCGCCTATTCAGCAACAGCGAGCACTGCATTCAAATATATCTCATCCCAGGAATTAAATAAGGTCAGCCACATTCATGGGCATTTCCTCCACTGTAGTATTGTAGAAAGTCTCAATGTCACAAAGAATCCTCTTGTCTTCTTCAGCAACAAAGTTTATAGCCACATTTTTCCTCCCAAATTGACCCCCTCTGCCAATTCTGTGAATATAGTTTTCACGATTGGTAGGTAGATCATAGTTTATAACCAAAGACACTTGTTGCACATCAGTCCCATGAGCCAACAAGTCAGTAGTGATCAGAACTCGGCTTGACCCTGATCGGAATTCCCTCATGATAACATCTCTCTCTTTCTGGTCCATGTCACTATGTAGAGCAGAAACTGTGAAGTCTCTGGCGTGCATTTTTTTTTTCAGTGACCCAGTCCACTTTGCACCTTGTACTGAGAAAAATCACAACCTACATAATGGTCAGTGTCTCGTACAAGTCACAGAGTGTGTCCAACTTCCACTCCTCTTTCAACATTAATGTAAAACTATTTGATTCCTTCAAGGGTCAATTCTTCCTTCTTCACCAGAATTCAAATTGGATCTCTCATAAATTTTTTGATCACTTCCAACACATCAGTTGGCATTGTGGCAGAAAGCAACACAACCTGAATACTTGTATTTAATTTTTGGAAAATCTCATAGATTTGATCCTTAAACCCTCGGCTCAACATTCCATCTGCTTCATACAAAACAAACATTTTGATCCATTTTGGAGAAAGATATCTTCTGTTTAACATATCAAACACTCTCCCTGGTGTACCAAAAACAATATGTGGTGCTTCAGCCTGCAGTTTTTGCATTTCATTTGGAACAATGCAGGCATGACAAGTTGCTCCCATATAGTCTCCAAGTGCCAGAATCACCTTTTGGATCTTTTGAGAGAGAGAGAGAGAATTTTAATATATATATATTTTAGTTTTCAGCAGACACAACATCTTTGTTTGTATGTGGTGCTGAGGATCGAACCCTGGCCGCACGCATGCCAGGGGAGCGCTACCGCTTGAGCCACATCCCCAGCCCAACTTTTAGATCGCTGTTGAATACCTGAAGGCTTCTCAAAACCATAAGCATAGATGCCCTGAAGAAGAGACTCCTTTTAAATTCATATCATCAAAGTTATCAATAATCTCATTCCAGTTGCTCTCGATGACACCATCGGGTCCATTCCCTCTGGGCCTCCATGTTCTCTGTTATAATCCGCGAAGCCACCAGACATGATCCGAAGAACCACTCAGTGCCTGACTGAAAAAAAAAAAAAGCCTTCATCTTTTAAAAAATATTTTCTTAGTTGTGGATGGACACAATATCTTTGTTTTTATTTATTTATTTTTATGTGGTGCTGAGGATTGAACTCAGGGTCTCACACCTGTGAGGCTACACTCTACCACTGAACTATAGCCCGAGATCTCTCTATCTTCATCCTTATCCCTAAGGACATCCTTCCACGAAATCACTTCTCTGACCACAGTAAGCCACACTTCTGGCCTCAGCCATTTCTATTCTACAGGTCTCCAAACCATCGTAGTTATTGTTAAGTGAACAACAAAGGAGCTGTGCCTTTCTACTGTGCATTTCTACTGTGACTAACATATACATGTTTTCCACACTGTTTAAATAGGAATGTAAAAAGATGGTTTCAGTCAGGTGCAGTGGGACACGCCTGTAATTCCAGAGACTTGGGTAGCTGAGGCAGGATGATTGCAAGTTCAAGGCCAGACTTAGCAACTTAGCAAGACCCTAAGCAACATAGTGAGACCCTGTCTCAACACAAAAAAATAAAAAGGTTGGTGATGTAGCTTGGTGGTAAATCTCCCCTAGGTTCAATCCCCAGTACCCCCCCCCAAAAAAGATGTTTTTAGATTCTATTCTGAAGTTCTTTTTTGATAATTTCTGACCTTTTTATATGTTTAAAACATGTGACTATTTTTTCATAATAATTGACTTGGCTCAATTCAATGTTCAGTATAATTTTAATGAAGTATTTTTAGTTTATTACTGGAAAATATGCAAAGTAAAATACATAAATCATGAGTAGAGCATGATCAGTTATGACACATTTAACATACCATCTGACTACAATGCCAGTGAAAAAATAGATGACTACCAGCACTTCAGAAATCTCCATG